TACTAATCTCACTGCATCTCCCCTCCAAGTCTCCGACCACTACTTTGTATCCTTTTCTCTCTCGCTCTCCTCCAACACTACTCACTCTGCCCCTACTCAGATGGTAATGTGCCGTCGCAACCTTCGCTTTCTCTCTCCCGCTACTCTCTCCTCTTCCATCGTATCATCTCTTCCCTCTGCTAAATCCTTCTCCCTCCAATCTCCTGATTCTGCCTCCTCAACCCTCCTCTCCTCCCTTTCTGCATCTTTTGACTCTCTATGTCCCCTATCCTCCCGGCCGGCTCGGTCCTCCCCTCCTGCTCGGTGGCTTGACGACTCATTGCGAGCTCACAGAACAGGGCTCCGGGCAGCCGAGCGGAAATGGAGGAAAACTAGACTCCCTGTCATCTTTTCACTCCCTCCTCTCTACACTTTCTTCTTCTGTTTCTGCTGCTAAAGCCACTTTTTACCACTCTGAATTTCAAGCCTATGCCTCTAACCCTAGGAAGCTCTTTGCCACCTTCTCCTCCCTGCTGAATCCTCCTCCTCCTCCCCCTCCCTCCTCCCTCTCTGTGGATGACTTCGTCAACCATTTTGAAAAGAAGGTTGACGACATCCGATCCTCATTTATTAAGTCAAATGACACCGCTGGTCCTGCTCACACTGCCCTACCCTATGCTTTGACTTCTTTCTCCCCTCTCTCTCCAGATGAAATCTTGCGACTTGTGACGGCCGGCCACCCAACAACCTGCCCGCTTGACCCTATCCCCTCCTCTCTTCTCCAGACCATTTCCGGAGACCTTCTCCCTTATCTCACCTCACTCATCAACTCATCCTTGACCGCTGGCTATGTCCCTTCCGTCTTCAAGAGAGCAAGAGTTGCACCCCTCCTCAAAAAAACTACACTCGATCCCTCCGATATCAACAACTACAGACCAGTATCCCTTCTTTCTTTTCTCTCCAAAACTCTTGAGCGTGCTGTCTCTAGCCAACTCTCCTGCTATCTCTCTCAGAATTACCTTCTTGATCCAAACCAGTCAGGTTTCAAGACTGATCATTCAACTGAGACTGCTCTTCTCTGTGTCACGGAGGCTCTCCGCACAGCTAAAGCTAACTCTCTCTCCTCTGCTCTTATCATTCTAGACCTATCTGCTGCCTTACTGTGAACCATCAGATCCTCCTCTCCACCCTCTCCGAGTTGGGCATCTCCGGCGCTGCTCACTCTTGGATTGCATCCTACCTGACAGGTCGCTCCTACCAGGTGGTGTGGCGAGAATCTGTCTCCGCACCACGTGCTCTCACCACTGGTGTCCCCCAGGGCTCAGTTCTAGGCCCTCTCCTATTCTCTCTATACACCAAGTCACTTGGCTCTGTCATATCCTCACATGGTGTCTCCTATCATTGCTACGCAGATGACACACAATTAATTTTCTCCTTTCCCCTTCTGATAACCAGGTGGCGAATCGCATCTCTGCATGTCTGGCGGACATATCAGTGTGGATGTCGGATCACCACCTCAAGCTGAACCTCGGCAAGACAGAGCTGCTCTTCCTCCCGGTGAAGGACTGCCCGCTCCATGATCTCGCCATCACGGTTGACAACTCCATTGTGTCCTCCTCCCAGAGTGCAAGGAACCTTGGCGTGACCCTGGACAACACCCTGTCATTCTCCGCTAACATCAACGCGGTGACCCGATCCTGCTGGTTCATGCTCTACAACATTCGCAGAGTACGAACCTACCTTACACAGAAAGCGGCACAGGTCCTAATCCAGGCACTTGTCATCTCCCATCTGGATTACTGCAACTCACTGTTGGCTGGGCTCCCTGCCTGTGCCATTAAACCCCTACAACTTATCCAGAACGCTGCAGCCCGTCTGGTGTTCAACCTTCACAAGTTCTCTCATGTCACCCCGCTCCTCCGCACACTCCACTGGCTTCCAGTTTAAGCTCGCATCTACTACAAAACCATGGTGCTTTCCTATGGAGCTGTGAGGGGAACGGCACCTCCTTACCTTCAGGCTCTGATCAGACCCTACACCCAAACGAGGGCACTATGTTCATCCACCTCTGGCCTGCTAGCCCCCCTACCTCTACGGAAGCACAGTTCCCACTCAGTCCAGTCAAAGCTACTCGCTGCTCTGGCACCCCAATGGTGGAACAAGCTCCCCCACGATGCCAGGACAGCGGAGTCACTGACCACCTTCCGGAGACACTTGAAATCCTACCTCTTTAAGGAATACCTGGAATAGTATAAGAGTAATCCTTAAACCCCCCCCCCCCATAAAAAAAGGGTGGTTGTCCCACTGGCTATCCTAAGTTGAATGCACCAATTTGTAAGTCGCTCTGGATAAGAGTGTCTGCTAAATGACTTAAATGTAAATGGTAGAGGCAGATGGCCTGCAATGAGTCGGGAGCCGAAATTGCTTCGTGAGAAGATTCCCGCATCTCCCTGCTGACCATATGCACCCACGTCGATCATGGTACCTTGCCTCGCAGACTGCCATCAGGACCATTGCAAAAAAGCCCTTAAAGTTGTGGCACTTGATGCCCGAGTTTACCGGAGCTCCGATCCGAATATGTTTTCCGTCGACAGCTCCTGCACAAAACTGATAATTCCAAAGGTCCCCAAAATCTCTGTTGATTTCTGCCCATTTTGCAGTAATTGCAATTCAAAAAGAGACATTTATGCTTCTGTAGCTAAAAAGTAGTGTCGTAAAGCATATAACACCAGACTGACATGTAGCTAGCTAGCTAGTATTTGTAAACAGGCATGTCGTCTTTAGCTAGAGTCAAAAAGAGTGCCTCTGCCCCTCTTGCTTGGTAAGCTACTCTGGCTCCCCAAGCCCCCTAGTGGATATACACTACACAAGGCGGACTTCGTCTCTGGGTGGAATCCGCTGCCCCCCAAAAAAACACTCCACCCACGTGCACGACCGTAGATCAACAGAGTGGAGCTTGTAGCAGCCTTATATATAGGCGTGAGAAGACCGATTTTCGGGATGTCGCATGGTCTCACAAACAACGCTGCAGCTTGCCCACATTCCACCGCAGATGCGGAAGGCCCACATACGCGGATGCGGTGGATTGAGACGCAGCCCATGCACAAAAAATTATACCTCTATCTTAAACTGACAGATTTTGATGGGGATTATTTTTATAATGTTACTTTTATGTTACTATTATGTTACTTTATTATGATTAAAAACCATGAAATCAACCAGTCCTCCATCGTTAACACAATGGAAAGATCAAATGCTTTATTATCTAAATTTTGAAAGTGTGTGGGCTACAGAAATAAATAAAATGGAGCAGTTTTAGGCCATGTGGCGGAGAGAGATGGGGGTGTGAGCAGGTGGGTTTGGGCAGGTGTGATGCCATTGATGTTTGTGTGTGTTTGTATGCTGTCATTTGTATGTTTTGTATTGTTTAAAAAAATATATAAGACAGAAGCTGTCTATACATAGAGAGGACCATAACAGCAGAGCACATATAATCCAAGTAAATAAGGCCTTGTGATGTAGTTGTAAGACGTTGGATAGCAAATAATAGGCCTATCAGTGTAGGTACTTTAGGCTACATTCCAGGGTTCTCTCTTCTTCACTCATTGTTACTCTAACAGACACATCAAGTGTTTATCTTGCAATGGCTGTGCACAATCAAGGACAAGTATCACACTTACTGCTGTAGAAGTACTCCTCAGCCAGTTTGATGATGGTTTCATTTCTGCCCAGCAGGCCGCACCAATACATTCCCTCTCCCTGGGCCAGGCCCAGGGAATCCACAGTGAAGGTGTCAGCACCCTGGGTCACCTCCAGCCTGCCTGCATCCAGAGACTGTCTCTGCCTGCTGAAACTGAAGCCTGTACAGCACTGTGTGGAGATCTGCTTACACCACACCCTGGGGAGCCCCTCGTCCTTTAGATCATAAGGACATGTCAGTCTCTGCACACTGTCACAAGTACCTGTGGAATATAATGATAGATTAATATTAGAAATCTTAGACTCATATTAGACAATTCCTGGCAATACTTATGTGATATGATGTTGAAAGTTTTGGATATTACAAATTGTACTTATAGGCATAGGCATCAGTTCAAGAAAAGTTTTTTTGAATTTCCCGTCTCAAATATCACAACCAACTGTAGCATGTGTCAATAGCAGTAGAATGAAACTTGTTACACATCCCAAACTGTTTCATAAAGTAGATTGAATTGTTATTTGAGTGATTTGTAAATTAAGCTGAAAATGTATCTGTAATTTTCACTTTTCTATTTTGAAAACAGCTAACAGTGTGTTGTAACATTGTAACAAACACTTAAACAAATATGTACAGTATGTTTTGACTTGACTCATTCCGCTAATGAATATCAGTTCAGTCAAAGCAATAATCACTCTGTTTTTTGTTGCTATGCCTTCATTTAGCTTTGGTTATTGAAATCCATCCTAGGTCAGATCAAAAACAGTAAATGTGCAAAACAAATACACAAAGTCAAAAGCACTTTTCAAATGCATATTTGGACCTTATCTGCGAGCCAGAACAACAATGTAGTCAGTAGAAGCATTTTTGTTATTGAATGTTGAATGTTGAAAATATGAGGTAAAACCGAGCAGAAGGTGGTTTTGTCAGTGCATGTCAGTGTCTGAGAGGGGCATGTCAGGAAATGGCCAACCAAATATATCTAGCCTAATAGAGAGAGCACTTGTTTTCTTCTTGTTTTTGCATAGTTGGGTTGATTTAATCACATTAAATCATGTCATTAAATTGTGAATGTTTAATAGGCAAATATAGGATAGCCTAGTACACATTTAGAAATGTGTATGGAAGCTTTCCTGATATCTGTGAAAATAAAAAAGATCTAATGACTCAAATATGCAAACGTTAAATGCTAATGAATTTCCAAGGTATGGTTCAATCAATGTGTTTTATGGCTTGTACTTGGGACTTTTATTTTTCGATGGTGCGTACTTGTAATCTAGCGAGACAGTTTTGCTCACTGCCATTGGCTGTAGCCTTATCCAATGAAAAAGAGTGTTGGTGTCTTCCTCGCAGCGTCCCATGTGTGTGAGTGAGTGCTAGCAAAGCAACAAAATGGTAAATTCAATTAACATTTATTTAGATTTTAATAATATAATATTTGCCTAAAACATCAGATTATTTCCGACTCCAGTGTAGAGATTAAACAAATATTCGGATGTCGGACTGGCTGTTTAAACGTTGCTGATCCAGGTTACCATGCTAGCTAGCTGGCTAGCTTCTTAGCGTTAGCTAGCTAGCTATTTTGGTAGCCAAAAACAGCCGAATTGACATTTTGGACTGTTGTGTATTTCAGTTTTTTATTTATTTATGTTACATGAGTTACATTTATGCGTTGTGATTTTTACTTTGATCCATGACTCTGTCGAATGAATGATATAGCCAGCGTTCAACTGTTCATGGTGTGTTTGTGTCTGATTGTAGCTTCGTCGAGAGACGAGACTGAGACGGGAGTACCTGTATAGGAAGGCCCAGGAGGACCGAGTGCGGACGATTGAGGAGAAGAAACAGAAGCTGAAATCTGCTCTTGATGGTGAGGACTGCATGTAATTCATTAGATTGGGTGGATGGTGAACAATCTGAACTGTTTTGATACATTTTAGGAGGTCAACGGGCATGGCTTTGAGAACAAATGACAATTTTGGTAACGTTAGCTAGTTCCAAGTCTTTGACTGGTTATTTATTTAATTTTTTTCACAGACAATCGTCTCATCCCAACTGAGGTTCGCAGAGAAGCTGTTCAGTTACAGAAATTGCTGGAGTATGACGATGAGGGAGCGGAAGGTTTGTTCCATAGAATTATAATTACATTCTCCCATCTAATTCTGTTTTTTCCACACATCAGGTTCTGCACATCAACATTCACTGTTAATATGATGTTGCTCATGACAATGAGCAAACCAATGACTGACTGAGAGCTTCTCCGTGTGTGCAGGTGTCAGCTCTCACATGGATGATGAGTATAAATGGGCTGGAGTGGAGGATCCAAAGGTCATGGTCACAACGTCAAGAGACCCCAGCTCTCGACTCAAGATGTTTGTCAAAGTCTGTCCCCATTATATGTCTCAAGATATTGGCTCTTTGTCAATTAGTCTTTCCTTGATTTCTTCCATCCTCTGCTCGCCTCCTTCTGAAAAGGCTTTGGAGAAAATAGGAGGCAAGGAGATAGGATGCAAGCAATCATAGAAAGATGAATTGAGAGAGCCATTCTTGTTCAATCTCTAGCACAAAGTATGTTTACAGTAATCTATATGACTTGTCCACAATTGTGGCTGATGTGTAACTTTTGCTGTTGACAGGAGGTGAAACTGATCTTCCCAGGCGCTCAGCGTATGAACAGGGGAGGTCATGAGATCAAAGCTCTTGTACAAGCCTGTAAAGCCAACAATGTTACAGACCTGATCATTGTTCATGAGACCAGAGGACAGCCAGGTAAGCCCATCCATAACCAACACCAAATCCTCTCAATTAAGTATCATAGCCCTGCACTATTATTTCTCTAGGTTTAATAATATTAGGTGTTTGTTTAATGCAAACAGAGGTTGAAATTAGCCAGTCTGTTTGAGCTATATTGTGCTATTTCCTTGTCACTCCTTGTCATGCCATGTTTGGCTTGACAAGGACAGCAATAGAATAGGCAAGAGCGCACAAATGGATCTGGGTTGACTAGAATGCCTCTTTCCAAGTATAAAAACACTGCATTGAGGTAACCTTAAAATAACTACTTTTATATTGCTTGTGGTATTAATAGATGGGCTGGTGGTGTGCCACCTACCTTTTGGACCAACTGCGTACTTCACCCTTTACAATGTGGTAATGAGACATGATGTGCCAGACATTGGAACCATGTCTGAGGCCTACCCCCACCTCATCTTTCACAACTTCTCCTCACGACTTGGCCAGAGGGTGAGAGACTTGACACTTAACAATTTTCAATAAATGTTTAGACTTATTATTTGAGTAGTGCATGCAAATGTTTGACACTGACTGTAAGTAAATCTCTCTCAATCAGGTTTCCAATATCCTCAAGTATTTGTTCCCAGTGCCTAAAGAGGACAGTAGACGAGTTATCACATTTTCCAACCAGGAGGATTTTATATCTTTCAGGTGAGTAGAGGGATGCTTTGGATGAGCTATTTGGGAACATGTACCTTATGTTTTTCTGATGAATTTTCTAGTCAGTCAGACTTATTCACTTAAAGTAAGGACCTATTTTCATTGCAGACATCACACTTTCAAGAAAACGGACCACAAGAACGTTGAGTTGTCAGAAGTTGGACCCAGATTTGAAATGAAATGTAAGTACAATATTTTCAATTTCTCATCATTAGCAACATCAAATGAGTTTTTTTTACAAGGTGGAATTTTGTATTAATTGCAGTTTTACCCTTTCCTGCACTGCACCCCTTATACCATTTGTGTATCTTTCTCTTGTGTGTATTGATGATGTACACACATAATTATATATAATTGTTCTATTATAAACTAGTGTTTTAACAACTGGTTTTCTGTCTGTAGTGTACATGATCAAGCTTGGTACCCTGGAGAATGAGGCTACAGCGGACGTTGAATGGCGCCACCACTCCTACACACACACTGCCAAAAAGAGGAAGTTTCTCAGCGTGGAGTAGCCTCAACCCATGTGCCCCTCTCATGGACCGCTCATGGCAAAAGCAGCCTAACCACATAGTTGCATAATGCTGTGTTTTAAGTTTTACACACCATTCCTCAGATATGTATTTCATGTTAATATGGTGTCAGACCTTGGATAATTTCATGGAAACAGACTTTACCAGATAAGTTGTGTATAATACAAACTAGATTTTGACTGGACTGAATATATATTTTTACTTCAATGGTTTTGTACTACATATGGGTATTTCTATAAATAAAGGGGCCAATGTGTGACATCTGGGTAAACATTTCTAAATGGTTTGATATACATTTAAATATGATTTTCTTGCAGCTTCACATGTATAGTTACAGGAATAAGAGTAGATAGGCACAATGAAATGAAACATGAACACTGTAATGCCTAGTAGCCAGGTCTGTTTGAGCTTTAGTCAACTTCTCTAAAATGTATAGCCATGCAAAACCTTCCAGAATAATAAAAAAGATAAACAACAGCATTTCTATATTTTGTAATAGTTTATATAATTTAATACAATGGGTTCTGTCAACAAAATCATTGACAATAATAACCACAAGAAATGCTCACTGGTATCTGAGTTTATAGAAAGACCCATATGTACTGTATCTGAGCTAGTGACTTGCCCAGAGATGATCAACATGTGAAAATAAAGGCAGTCCCAGGTTTTAATCTTGTTTTTACTTGCTCATATGATACAAACCACCTTCCCACTTTACTGCAAAAAATCAGGATCATGCATACTGTACATTTTCTTTATCACAGAATGAGGCCCAACCTCCATTTATTGCATTCAGCTATTTTGCTATTTAAAATTAATAGTTTTTAATGTGATAGATTCAGATGTAACAATGTTCCCCCCGGATATGTAATAGGTCAACTGAATCATATCACGTCATTTGTCTGTTGCTTACTGTGACATACGTTTTTACAATGTAACTTTAAAAAAATTATGTTTACTTGTAACACCCCCCTTTATGTATCTATCATGTTATCCAATGAACGAGTGTAAATGTGAGAACTGACCTATAGGGAGCGCGCATCACGGAGGTGTTCCGCTTTCCCAGAGATTCTACTTCTGATTGAGAGAATTCAAGATGGCTCCTTCAGGTAAGACTTTATTCCAAAACCAAATTTGCAGTTAGTTGTTTATGAATGAGTCGTTTTGCAATGGTATTGAGTTGCCCATTAATTAAGTAGTTGCTTATGTTATTACGTAAATTAGAGTGAAACAAGCTTTTCGTTACTTGATAGTATCGGACAGCAAAAGTAGCAACTAACGCGCTAGCTGGGTCATAGCTAGCTAGCTAGCTAATCCCTTTCCGCCTCATGAAAGCACTCACTCGAAAATGAAAAAACACCTGACAGGAATTAAGAAACTATTTATAACAGCCTCATCGACGCGGTATTGTCATTTCATCAAAATATTATAAATGAATTGTAATCTTCAGTGGTAGCTATACTGAGAGAAACATTGCTTCCAAAATTTCTAAATGTCAAATTGCTAAGCAGTCAAATCCCATTACTCTATGCTAAGCTAGGATAGCTACGTAATTACCTTGCCAACGATTTTAGCTATAACATTTGTAGCTAACGTTATATACAAAGCCAACAACAAGGCTCCTACGGCACTTCATGCAATCATGCAATTTCGCGTGCACATGAAATGTCTAGGTCAAGAGTCAAACTGCAGCGAGACATGCTGTAGTTAACGTTAACGAGCTATGCCTAGGCTATGTAAAGTTGCCTATAAAGTTAGCTGACTGGTTAGTAGGTTTAACTAGTTGAAGTGTCAAAGTAGTAATCTTCCATGAGAAATAACATTTGCTCGAGCCATTGACAATCTACACCAACTCAGCTGTGTGGTACAAGCAACCCTTTTAGCCAATGTTTTCACTGTGAGCAGCAACATTTTTGGAGATGTAAAAATTAGGCCTCTTCTGTTTATTTACCAGTTCTTTACCTAGTATACACATCAGTGTGGTATCAACCTTGCTAGTTGCAACATACTCTGTCAATCTGTGATCATAATTATGGGCACGTTTGTCTCACTCGGTTGATTGGATTCAGATGGATCGGATCGTAGCTAATTCGTAGCACTGTCTGTCTCAGGTTCCAGGTAAGGGCTCACTCCCCCGGATCCCCAGTGCATGAAGTTCTCCTGCAGTTGAAGCATCTCAGTGCTACCTCCCCTGCTCTTCCTGCCTGTCATCATGTCCTCCAACTCCTCTTCTTGCTCCTCCTCTGGAGAGACCAGTCCAGAGGACGTGCCCCGAGGTGGGGGCACCATCCGCGTCTACCTCCCCAATAAACAGAGGACTGTGGTAAGACTTTCAGAATAATTTTTTTGGCCTTTATATTACAAGTAAAATTAAATTATTTTCATCACTAATGATTCACTACTGCATCAATGACTAACTCCTAGCAGACAGTTGGTGTTGTCCCAGATGGTGCCTAAGGCCCTGTTCCAATCTATTTCTTATCATGTTTCTCAAACATGAGAACACATGATTTACCATAGAGATCCTAATAATTCACTGTGAATATGTGACTCACACAATTTCATAACTGTAAACTGAGTTGGTGCTGTATTTTATTATGTGAAAGTAGTACTCTTTCTCTGACACAACAAGCCACTTGCACACCCTACTTGTAATTGCTAAACTACATAAAACTCCCTTTTGTTCAAACATCTACTGTTTCTGTCTGCAGGTAAATGTTCGCCCCGGGCAGACAGTTTATGACAGTTTGGATAAAGCCCTTAAAGTGAGGGGCCTGAGCCAGGACTGTTGCGCAGTGTTTCGACTCCTAGAGGGGTAAGTATCTGCCGTAGCCCATTTTAATGTCTTGTTTTTTAAGCATATTTCTTGTCTGATCTGGCAAGGTGTGAGTACAGTTCAATAAGTAAAAGGTTCTAGCAGTGTCTGTTTATGAAATCATCTATAAGTGGTGCATTGTTGATGTGTCTTAACCCTCTATTTACAACCCCAAGATACATTTCTAGCAACATTTCTTTCATGGCAATACAGTTTTCTGATTCAGATGAGTTTTTCTTCAATTTAATTTAATTTTTTTTATCTGCCACCCCACCCCCCCCCACCCCCCCACAGTCGCAAAAGACTAACTGATTGGAACACTGACATCACCCCGCTGGTAGGAGAAGAGCTGCTGGTAGAGGTGTTGGATGATGTCCCTCTCGCCATGCATAACTTTGTAAGTAGCTCTTGTAAGTGTTTTACCTCTGCATTTGTGTATTGTAAGGCAACACTTATTTTTCCAGTAGTGGTTAACACCAACTTCTGCACATATGTGCCTCTGACTGTGTGGGTTAGAATAGCAGACTTTCCACTACTTTGTCACAACTGTCACCTCACTTTCTCTTCAATTGAAATGTCAGAAAAATACACTTTCACATATTATTTTTATTGCAGGTACGGAAAACCTTCTTCAAGTTGGCCTATTGTGACTTCTGCCACAAGTTTCTGTTCAACGGCTTCAGATGTCAGACATGCGGCTACAAGTTTCACCAGCACTGCAGCAGCAAAGTCCCCACTGTGTGTGTGGACATGGACACAATGACAAAACGGTGAGTCTGTCGAGGACAGGGCTCCAAATTAGCATTTTTCATTGGTAGCACGGTTTGATAGCACAACATAAAATCTAGGAGCACCAGAATATATTTTTTGGAATATTAGCGTTCTACATTGTGTAAAAGCACTACTTATTGAGATGCATTACATAGACAATTTTACCCTGTCTCTTTAAGCACGTCAAGTTTGTGAGTGACGACATGCAAGAGATCTGTCATTCATTCATTGCTATGATCATTGGTCTTCTAAAGCTATCCCTTTTCCTTTCTTTCTGTGCCCCCAAATGTTTAGATGTACTGGTAAAGTAACCAGATTGTTAGCTAGCTAATGAGGTAACCTGACTGAACAAGGTGTAAACAAATGCCCGTAAGTGGTTTTGGAATGACTTGTGACAAAGTTTTTAGGCCCTGTTCATAAACCAACTTTTTGGTCCACCAGCCACTGTGGCAGGTAGATGAAAAAAATCTGCCAGCCACTCAGAATTCTTACCAGTCAATACATTTATTTGGCATAATAACACGAAAAACAAACGTTTTTCCAGGTTTTGGATTTCCCCCAGTTTTATTTTCAGGTTTTCACTTTTAATAGAAAAACAACATTTGGGTGTTATAATTCCACATCAGCAGACCACAATAAAATATTTGGCAGGTATAGTTGCCCTCTAATTTCAATTACGCACCTCAAGAGACTGGTGTTTGGCTGGTGGTGTTTCTGTACTGCATGCGGAATAGAGTTTGCCAAATAAAAGACCACCCGAGTGATACAAATCACCATGATATCATATCATTCTGCCAGTTAACATTTTATTTGGAAAGTTTTATGGGAAAGCCTTTAGAAATGACTGTTTCGGCATTACTAACTGGTAGACACAGGCATTCCCATGCCGTTATGTCTTCAGAAAGTTGCAAGAAATATTCTTTACATGTAGGCTTTGGATTGAATGAATTAATCTGCCCTCGCTTTTTTCTCTAGGGAACTGAGAAACATCTGCACAGTGAAACCTATCATTACAACAATTATCTGGGCACATTTTTAAAATATATACAGTACCAGTCAAAAGTTTGGACACTGTATTTTCTACATTGTAGGATAATAGTGAAGACATCAAAACTATGAAAAAACACATATGGAATCATGTAGTAACCAAAAAAGTGTTAAATAAATCAAAATATATTTTATATTTGAGATTCTTCAAATAGCCACCCTTTGCCTTGATGACAGCTTTACACACTCTTGGCCTTCTCTCAACCAGCTTCACCTGGAATGCTTTTCCAACAGTCTTGAAGGAGTTCCCACATATGCTTAGCACTTGTTGGCTGCTTTTCTTTCACTCTGCCGTCCGACTCATCCCAAACCATCTCAATTGGGTTGAGGTTGGGGGATTGTGGAGGCCAGGTCATCTGATGCAGCACTCCATCACTCTCCTTCTTGGTAAAATAGCCCTTACGCAGCCTGAAGGTGTGTTGGGTCATTGTCCTGTTGAAAAACAAATGATAGTCCCACTAAGCCCAAACCAGATGGGATGACGTATCGCTGCAGAATGCTGTGGTAGCCATGCTGGTTAAGTGTCCCTTGAACTCTAAATGAATCACAGACAGTGTCACCAGCAAAGCACCCCCACACCATAACACCCCCTCCATGCTTTACGGTGGGAACTACACATGTAGAGGTCATCCGTTCACCAACACTGCGTCTCACAAAGACACGGCGGTTGGAACCAAAAATCCCCAATTTGGACTCCAGCCCAAAGGACAAATTTCCACCCGTCTAATGTCCATTGCTCGTGTTTCTTGGCCCAAGCAGGTCTCTTCTTCTTATTGGTGTCCTTTAGTAGTGGTTTCTTTGCAGAAATTCGACCATGAAGGCCTGATTCACACAGTCCACTCTGAACAGTTGATGTTGAGATGTGTCTGTGACTTGAACTCTGAAGCATTTATTTGGGCTGCAATTTCTGTGGCTGGTAACTCTAATGAACTTATCCTCTGCAGCAGAGGTAACTCTGGGTCTTCCATTCCTGTGGTGGTCTTCATGAGAGCCAGATTTATCATAGCGCTTGATGGTTTTTGCGACTGCACTTGAAGAAACTTTCAATGTTCTTGACATTTTCCGTATGTCTTAAAGCTGTATAAGGCCATAAGTGAACAGGAAAACGCTCATCCAGAGGCAGCGCTCCTAGTGGCCGGGGACTTTAATGCAGGGAAACTTAAATCCGTTCTACCTAATTTCTACCAGCATGTTAAATGTGCAACCAGAGGAAAAAAAACTCTAGACCACCTTTACTCCACACACAGAGACGCATACAAAGCTCTCCCTCGCCCTCCATTTGGGAAATCTGACCATAACTCTTTCCTCCTGATTCCTGCTTATAAGCAAAAACTAAAGCAGGAAGCACCAGTGACTCGGTTAATAAAAAAGTGGTCAGATGACGCAGATGTTAAGCTACAGGACTGTTTTGCTAGCACAGACTGGAACATGTTCCAGGATTCTTCAGATAGCATTGAGGAGTACACCACATCAGTCACTGGCTTCATCAATAAGTGCATCGATGATGTCGTCCCCACAGTGACCGTACGTACATACCCCAACCAGAAGCCATGGACTACAGGAAACATCCGCACTGAGCTAAAGGGTAGAGCTGCCGCTTTGAAGGAGCGGGACTATAACCCGGACGCTTATAAGAAATCCCGCTATGCCCTCCGATGAACCATCAAACAGGCAAAGAGTCAAGATTGAATCCTACTACACCGGCTCTGACGCTCGTCGGATGTGGCATGGCTTGAAAACGATTACAGACTACAAAGGGAAGCACAGCCGCGAGCTGCCCAGTGACACAATACTTCCAGACGAGCTAAACCACTTCTATGCTCGCTTCGAGGCAAGCAACACTGAAGCATGCATGAGAGCACAAGCTGTTCCGGATGACTATGTGATCACGCTCTCCGTAGCTGATGTGAGTAAGACTTTTAAGCAGGTCAACATTCACAAGGCCGCAGGGCCAGACGGATTACCAGGACATGTACTCCGAGCATGTGCTGACCAACTCGCAAGTGTCTTCACTGACATTTTCAACATGTCCCTGACTGAGTCTGTAATACCAACATGTTTCAAGCAGACCACCATAGTCCCCGTGCCCAAGGACTCTAAGATAACCTGCCTAAATGACTACCGACCCATAGCACTGACGTCTGTAGCCATGAAGTTCTTTGAAAGGCTGGTCATGGCTCACATCAACACCATTATCCCAGAAACCCTAGACCCACTCCAATTTGCATACCGCCCCAACAGATCCACAGATGATGCAATCTCTATTGCACTCCACACTGCCCTTTCCCACCTGGACAAGAGGAACACCTACGTCAGAATGCAATTCATTGACTACAGCTCAGCATTCAACACCATAGTGCCCTCAAAGCTCATCACTAAGCTAAGGATCCTGGGGCTAAACACCTCCCTCTGCAACTGGATCCTGGACTTCCTGACGGGCCGCCCCCAGGTGGTAAGGGTAGGTAACAACACATCTGCCACACTGATCCTCAACACGGGGGCCCCTCAGGGGTGCGTACTCAGTCCCCTCCTGTACTTCCTGTTCACCCATGACTGCATGGCCAGGCACGACTCCAACACCATCATTAAGTTTGCCGATGACACAACAGTGGTAGGCCTGATCTCTGACAACGATGAGACAGCCTATAGGGAGGAGGTCAGAGACCTGGCCGTGTGGTGCCAGGATAACAACCTCTCCCTCAACGTGACCAAGACAAAGGAGATGATTGTGGACTACAGGAAAAAAAAGAGGACTGAGCACGCCCCCATTCTCATCGACGGGGCTTTAGTGGAACAGGTTGAGAGCTTCAAGTTCCTTGGTGTCCACATCACCAACAAACTATCATGGAACAAACACACCAAGACAGTCGTGAAGAGGGCACGACAAAGCCTATTCCCCCTCAGGAGACTGAAAAGATTTGGCATGGGTCCTCAGATCCTCAATTTTTTTTACAGCTGCACCATCGAGAGCATCCTGACTGGTTGCATCACCGCCTGGTATGGCAACTGCTTGGCCTCCGACCGCAAGGCACTACAGAGGGTAGTGCGTACGGCCCAGTACATCACTGGGGCCAAGCTTCCTGCCATCCAGGACCTCTATACCAGGCGGTGTCAGAGGAAGGCCCTCAAAATTGTCAAAGACTCCAGCCACCCTAGTCATAGACTGTTCTCTCTGCTACCTCACGGCAAGCGGTACCGGAGTGCCAAGTCTAGGTCCAAAAGACTTCTCAACAGCTTCTACCCCCAAGCCATAAGACTCCTGAACAGCTAATCATGGCTACCCGGACTATTTGCACTGCCCCCCCCACCCCCACCCCCCACCCCATCTTTTTACGCTGCTGCTACTCTGTTAATTATTTATACATAGTCACTTTAACTCTACCCACATGTACATATTACTTCAACTACCTCAACTAGCCGGTGCCCCCGCACATTGACTTTGCACCGGTACCCCCCTGTGTATATATAGCCTCCCTACTGTTATTTTATTTTACTTCTGCTCTTTTTTTCTCAACACTTTTTTTGTTGTTTATTTTACTTTTTTATTAAAAATAAATGCACTGTTGGTTAAGGGCTGTAAGTAAGCATTTCACTGTAATGTCTGCATCTATTGTATTCGGCGCATGTGGCCAATAAAATTTGTTTTGATTTTATTTAAAGTAATGATGGACTGTTGTTTCTCTGTGCTTATTTGAGCTATTCTTGCCTTAATATGGACTTGGTATTTTACCAAATAGGGCTATCTTCTGTATACCACACCTACCTTGTCACAACACAACTTATCGGCTCAAACGCATTAAGAAGGAAAGAAATTCCACTAATTAACTTTTAAGAAGGCACACCTGTTCATTGAAATGCATTCCAGGTGACTATCTCATGAAGCTGGTCGAGAGAATGCCAAGAGTGTGCAAAGCTGTCATCAAGGCAAAGGGTGGCTATTTGAAGAATCTCAAATATAAAATATAGTTTGATTTGTTTAACACTGTTTTGGTTACTACATGATTCCATATGTGTTATTTCATAGTTTTGATGTCTTCACTATTATTCTACAATGTAAAAATAAAGAACCCTTGAATGAGTAGGTATGTCCAAACTTTTGACTGGTAGTGTATATTTTTTCCTGGTCGCACTGGTGCTCCCAAAATAAAATGTCAGGTCGCACAGCAAAAATCTAGGACCATATGCAACCTAAAGGGTCGTACTTTAGAGCCCTGTCGAGGACATGGAGATGGAACGGGGCTACTGTTCTAGATTGTATGAGTCAATAGTGTGGTGACTATCCAGTACATTGTGATAAGAATTTAAGGGTTGCTTCCTTGTTGGGCTACAGCACATTGCATCCCTATGGGCTAAACTGTTTAGGATATATGGCCAGTCCCATATGGGTTACCACACAGTTCCTTTTTTATGGCTGTCCCCCTCTGTTTATGCTGCTGAATTTATCTCCCAGGGAGGACTTTGGCTACAGGCCATGATCAATTATTGTGAAGAGATCTAGATTATAGACTACATTTCTTGCGCATACCCTTTTTTAAATTATACATAGTATAGAGCACATACATGTTTAATACAAATTGAGAGTATATTATGTTTAGGGGTAATTTAGACCATATTGCTAATGATAATGGATCAGGAGCTCCTGTTTTACTGTTTAGGCTTGCATTTCTGTCTATATTTAGCCTACTTTTTTTTCTTCATTACCCACCCTTCATGAAGTTTGCAAACTTAAATCTGAAGGGCTAAATGGTTGCTTATTTTGTTTTACTTTATTTATTTCTCAATACCTTAAAATACCCCAAAATATGCTGCTTAAGAGATTTCACAAGTAAGGCTGCCACTCGCCATTATGCTGCAACCGTGTAATGATAGGGGTTGGTGGCTAGGGAAGGAGGGACGTGGGGGGAGGGGGTGTTCTGGGTGGGAAACGACCAATGGGTGGGTTTCCCTGTGGGTCCTGCTTTTTGTTTCACATCCATGGGCTTACTAACACTACTGATAAGCAATGGCAACGCTAGCTACTCTCTCTTGGTATTTGAAAGGCCTAAACTGTCCTATTAAATGTTCCAGCTTTCTTGATATCCTAGCAAGAAACCATGTTGATATAGCAATGCTCCAAGAAACACACCTACTCCAAAAAGACACACACAGAATAAAGAACCATTTGTACAAACTGACTGCTGTTTCATCAGCCCCAAACAAAACTAAAGGTGTAATCATAATGATACATAGGAAACTCAAAAGTACCATTTTGGGTAAAGGCGAAGACCAAGAAGGCAGAATCACTTTCCTTAAATGTATCCATAACGCAAAGAAAATTGTCTTTTATTAATGTGTACACTACAAATTCATATGGTCCTAAATTTTTAGGATTCTCTGAACAGCGTATTGTTAGAATTAACCGAATTCCATATGGTTATTGGGACCGACATTAATGCTATTTTGGACATGTGGGACAAATCTAATAAGACCAACTACAATCCACACGCAACCAAGGCTCTCCAGCATATACTCTCTAATTACAACCTCATTGATGCCTGGCAAGCACATAATCCTAAAGCAAAAGAGCACACTTTCTACTCAAACAGGCATAAACCATTCTCACGAATCGATTTCATACAATTATCTACACGTCTATTTTCTTGAATTAAGAAAATAGAAATTATACAAATGAGCTTGTCTGACCACCGTGCTTACCACTGCCAACTTGAAATTTCAGAATTTCTGTGATCAATTTGAAATTGAACTAAATGAATTCATAATGATCAATAAAAATTCAGTCGATTTACCCCCGGATTCTATTGGATGCCACCAAAGGTTTTATAAAAAATAATGCAACTGCATTTGCATCTGGGTTGAATAAATCACAAAGAAGATACCAGATTTGGAAATGTTAACGGTGTTAGAGCGTTCTCAACAAACTCTTTTCAGACCAGGTAGCTATTACTCTTTCCAAAATCAAGATGGAACTTAATTTATACTGAACAAAAATGTAAATGCAACATTTAAAGTGTTGGTCCCAATCTACTAAGCAAACATATGGAATTGTTTTAAGATGGGCATATCATTTAACTATTTAATTTAGAATTTTAGGACGCCTTAAGGTATCCCCCCCCAAAAAAAATGTGGGATCAAATATTGAATTTGGCCTTTACTACTATAGCTCATAGAAATGAATTGAGTAACACATTCATAAATTGCAAAAAAGACACTCAAAAAATAAATCATCAGGAATAATGTTTTGAAGTGTCTGTCCTATATCTAGGAGATATAAGAAAGCTCAAGAAATAATAAAAGTGGACACATATTTAACCCCATATGTTTGTTGGCACAAAACTACCTCCATACTTAGACGAGTCACATGACATTAGTGGGGGTCGTAGAGCGAAACGGAGAACACCGTCATGTTCGAGAGTTTCATCTTTCCATAGTTAGGCCAAACCATTCGGACGCTACAGACGTTTTCGTGAGAAGACAGATTTTGTGTTCTCTTGGTCTGACAAACAGCTCTGTAGCTCTGCCACTTTCCACCGCAGATGTGGAAGTGCGACATAAGGGCGGATGCGGTGATAGAGATGGCCCATGCCAAAAAAACAGACAGATTTTTGTCTTAAGGATTTAACCGGCAGAATATCTTATCAAAATGAATATATTGCCACGGCTTAATTTCTGTAGTTCAACCCCCCCCCCCCAAAGAGACCAAACAAAATAAAAAGTTGCTCACACAAAAATTCCCACAATGTTCTCCATGCATTTTGTTGTGCTTTTCACAAGGTCACCCATATCACGTCATATTTGTTTTACTGTTAGCATTGTGTGACTGGAACAGCTCTCTTTACCCTCTGCTTACCCTCTGTGTGTGTACTGTACCTTGTTTCCAGGTTCACACCTAATCCCTGCACAGATGAGTACCCTCAGATATCCATACTGTTGCCAGACAACTCCATATCCCAGAGCGACATAGCCTTAACCCCAGATTCTTCTGGGTAAGTGGATCTCAACCATAGTCACATGCGTCCCAAAGGACACCCTATTCCCTATATCAGGGATGGGCAACTTTGATGGGGGTGGGTGCAACAAAAAATCTGAACACATGAGAGGCCGTGGTGGCTCGTGGGTCTGCGTACCCACATCCATACCCACACATGCAGTCAGAGCCAGCCCTAGCCTTTTGGGGACCCTAAGTTACATTTTGTTTTGGGGGGTTTCCCCCCACCTTACGAGCAAAACATGTTTTGCGGCCCCCCTCTTGACAGCGGCGATAATATATTTTTTTGAGTTAATGTCCTGCAATTCTACAATTTTTTTCATGGGGCGGAGAGAAGATTTTGGAATTTTATAACACATTTCATGCATTCCTACTAATTTTGCCATAGGGTGGAGAGAAATGTTTGCAGTTTTGAATATGATATCTGAGTGAGAGTGACTAACAAAATGAATGGGGGCCCCCCGGTCTGTAATTTGACCATGATTGCTGGCAAGACTAACTTACCAATCTAAAAAGAAAAGTAGCTGACATGGGTTAACTCAGTAAGTTGACACCGACCGACTGAGGTTTATTTTTTTTATTTTTTTGTCTTAGGAAATTGATCTGTGGGCCATGCCTTATATAGTGCACTACTTATCCCATAGGGCTCTGGTCAGAAGTAGTGCACTATAAAGGGAATAGTGTGCCATTTGGGATGCAGACACAGAAACCATATGGTATTGGTGCCCCCTCAAATGGATAACAGTAACTCTTCAGAAATTAACCGAACCTGTTCTGTTGTTCCCCTATGTGTCTTGTAGGCATGGACTTCTGTCACCGACCTCAGCCTTCCTGTTCCCCCCGCCAGTTGTAGATGGACCGTCCCTACAGAGGCATCGGTCCACCTCCACCCCCAACGTCCACATGGTCAGCACAGTGGGCCCTGCCGGCGTCAGCATCATAGAGGTGAGACAGTCACTCCTACAATACAGGGTTTACAAATAAATTCATTAATCCATTTTACAATGGAAATGTGTCTTCTGCTTATTTCTCAACCCCTACAATAGCGTACATCACACACACAGTGGACATCAATGTGAGTCTGTGAATGTTTCATTAATATTAGACGTGAGTGGTTATCCGATGTGTTTCTCTCTCTTTTTAGGAGGCGTTAAAAATACAAAATAATACAATGGGTGAGATTTCAAATCCCATTTCTTTATCCTTACTCATGTCTTTGAGATTATTTTCTACTTGCTCATTTGTCTCAAAACCCGCTCATTTGAATACTGTTATATTATATACAGGTCCTGAACCCTCATCCAAACCCTCCACCAGCCCGCCCTCCCTGGGCTCCCCTGGCAGGAGACCCCCCAAATCCCCCTCAGAGCACAAGGAGCGCAAGCCCTCCTCATCTGACGACAAAAAGAAAGTGGTAAGTAGAGTTTAGATATACCGGCGCTACTAAAACCCTTCTATGGAATGAGAATCTCATCTGGGTGAAAAAAGGTTATGGCATCGCAGTTGTTGCAGTCTTTTGGGGAGATGCCTTCATGACCTTTTCTTTTTTAGTGTCCGAGACTGAACCCTTGGTGCTCGTTGTTAATTAGGGATGGGGATGTTGTTGAAAATGGTGTTAAGTAAAAGTGTGTTTCAGCACCGTGGCGGTTATAGAGACTCAAGTTACTACTGGGAGGTCCACTCTCGAGAAGTCACCGTCCAGAAAAGGATAGGTGCAGGCTCCTTCGGGACGGTCTTCAAGGGAAAGTGGCACGGAGATGTGGCCATCAAGATCCTCAAAGTGACAGAGCCAACACCTGAGCAGCTGCAGGCTTTTAAAAATGAAATGCAAGTCCTAAGGTGAGTACTGTACATTCTTACATTGACAAATGAATTCATGTTTTTTTTTTTGGGGGGGGGGGTCTTGATATACCATACATTACTCTATTATGGTGCTGTATTGCAATTTACATAGATGTTTTTACTAAAACTGTCATACCATGAGTTACCATGAATGTTGTTGGTAGAACTGTGGAACATGCCGTTTTGGGTGAGATATTGATAGTTATGCAGTGTGTGTTGTGACTGATGTTGGTGTGCCCCCCCCCCCCCGCAGAAAGACACGCCACGTCAACATTCTGCTGTTCATGGGCTTCATGACTAAGCCTAACTTTGCCATCATCACACAGTGGTGTGAGGGCAGCAGCCTGTACCGCCATCTGCACGTTTCCGAGACCAAGTTTGAAACCATGCGCCGCATCGACGTGGCCAGGCAGACAGCACAGGGCATGGAGTAAGCTATTTCACTTTCAGGGCAGTTATTAAAGTGGCAATCTTAGGATTTGTACATCCATTTATTTATTTTATTTTTATTCATGATATATAGCTATTGATTCTTGAAGAATATAACTTATAAATGCCTCATGAGCTTTGTTCAACTGTCTTTATCACAACACATGGTGCTTTTTACAGTCACAATTGAAAAATATTAACATGCAGTATGTTCTTTTTTAGCTTATCTGCTTTTATATTTACTTTATGTATACATTTAGAAGTAACATATGCCTTTTTTGTGTTTTTTCAGTTATCTTCATGCCAAGAATATAATTCATCGAGACCTGAAATCAAACAGTATCCTTTCTTGAGCTGGGCTTTTACCTCTGAAGTAGAATAAGATGAATTTACACTGAACAATGATCAAACGTAACATGTAACGTGTTGGTCCCATGTTTCATGAGCTGAAATAAAAGAGCCCAGAAATGTTCCATATGCACAAAAAGCTTATTTATCTCACATTTTGTGCACAAATTTGTTTACATTTTACATTTTAGTCATTTAGCAGGCGCTCTTATCCAGAGCGACTTAGTTAGAGTGCATATATTATTTTTTTCATACTGTTTTACATCCCTGTGAGTGAGCATTTCTCATTTGCCAAGATAATACATCCACCTGATAGGTGTGGCTTATCAAGAAGCTGATTAAACAGCATGATTGTTACACAGGTGCACCTTGTTTTGGGGACAATAAAAGGCCACTCTAAAATGTGCAGTTTTGTCACACAATACCACAGATGTCTCATATTTTGACGGAGTGTGCAATTGGCAAGCTGACTGCAGGAATGTCCACCAGAGCTGTTGCCAGATAATTGAATTTTAATTTCTCTACCACAAGCCACCTCCAAAATCGTTTTAGAGAATTTGGCAGTACGTCCAACCGGCCTCACAACTGCAGACCACGTGTATGGCGTTGTGTGGGCGAGCAGTTTGCCCCATGGTGGCGGTGGGGTTAGGTTTACGAACACAATTTCATTTTATCGATGGCAATTTGAATGCACAGAGATACCGTGACGAGATCCTGAGGCCCATTGTCGTGCCATTCATCCGCCGCCATCACTTTATGTTTCAGCATGATAATGCACAGCCCCATGTCGCAAAGATCTGTACACAATTCCTGGAAGCTGAAAATGTCCCAGTTCTTCCATGGCCTGCATACTCACCAGACATGTCACTCAGTGAGCATGTTTGGGATGCTCTGGATCGACGTGTACGCCAACTTGTTCCAGTTCCCGCCAATATCCAGCAACTTTGAACAGCCATTGAAGAGCAGTGGGACAACATTCCACAGGCCACAATCAACAGCCTGATCAACTCTATACGAAGGAGATGTGTCGCGCTGCATGAGGCAAATAGTGGTCACACCAGATACTGACTGGTTTTGTGATCCACGCCCCTACTTTTTTTTTTTTTAAGGAATCTGTGACCAACAGATGCATATCTGTATTCCCAGTCATGTGAAATCCATAGATTAGGGCATAATGAATTTATTTCAATTGACTGATTTCCTTAAGTGAACTGTAACTCAGTAAAATCTTTTAAATTGTTGCATGTTGCGTTTATATTTTTGTTCAGTATAGATTATATGGATAGGGAGGACCTGATCTTAGATCAGCAGTCCTACTCGAAGACTCTTTATGAATACGGGCCCTGAGTTTGGATCTATGGTGTGCGTAACACTTTCTCTAGTGTAGGCCTATGTGGTTGGCCAGAAGCCTAGTTAGAAGCCAATGATGAATGACCACAGAAGCATTTTTGAACACCCTATTTATTTGTGTGTTTTGTCTGTGAGTTCAGTGCTGTGTTCACCACTAACATGAATATTTTTCACCGTGTTCAGTTGTGAAATCTTTGCATCATGATTTTAGTGCTTATATTGCCTGGTGTGAGCCTGTTAAGCTTCAAACTGTGCCAGAGCATCTTGTCTTCTTCCTCTTTTTAAAGGTGAAGTAAAATGTGTTGTGAAGGCTTTCTAGCAAATCAAACATTCATGGAGATTAATTAGAACAAATGTATCAATTTTTCGTATTTGTCTAAATTAATCATAAAATTGATCAAATATTTGTCAGCTCTTCAGAGAAAGATATTTTACCCACCACCAGTATCACTTGAGGCCAATGCTTGTGTCTAAATCTAGATCACCTTTGTAGAATGCTATCAATTTCAAGTCTATTTAGTAGTTTTGAAGGTCGTGTTAACATCACCAGTGTGATTTGCTTTTCCAAATGTATATACCTACCAACCTACCTGTTGCCGTGTTCCTGAGCTCTGTTGTCAGACATCTTCCTCCATGAGGGCTGGACTGTGAAAATCGGGGACTTTGGGCTGGCCACAGTGAAGTCTCGATGGAGTGGCTCCGAGCAGGTAGAACAGCCTAGCGGTTCCATTCTGTGGATGGTAAGTTCCTTGCACTCCTGGGTTGTATTGATTTACAGCACACCGTAGCATACCATAATGCAACAAAAACAAGTGTCTCATTGAACAAGTTCAGGTAGTCCCTTCCCGTTTCGGTCCGTTTTCTTCCGTTAGGTGTCAAGGAAATACGACCTAGATATCACTGGCTGGTAGTGGGGGGTAGCATCATTTAACATCAACTGTCAAACTACATTTAGCCATGTGATTTGTAATGTCTTGAGTTTTCCTAGAGAGTTTAGAGGGGTTGTATTTCTCATGTGTGATTATACTCTTTCAGTATGAAGACCACAGTTGTAACACATCTTCAACTAGAACGGGTACATTTCCTAAAACAGGGTGTCCGCGGGTCCTTAAAGTATTTACATCTTAAATTCATTTATCTGATTTAAAGGCCTTAATAAGTCTTACAATGTCTTCAATTCAGTTTTCAAAGGTCTTAAAAAATGTGACGGAGATGACTACACGGTTTCTGTTATATTGTGCAGCTGCGTAATTGTTGCCACCACGGTAATTTTTTATATATATATATATATATATATATATATATATAACATCAAATAATACTTGAGGCACACTTTCAAGATGTTACATCGCTATCTGCATGTGCTCGTCTTGTGCGTGTGCGAGTCGGACTGTTGCAGAGGAGAGAGAAAGGTAGTCTTATACAATTTAAGACAACACTAACTAGAGCCGGGACGATAAACCAGAAATTACCGACACCGACATTGCCCTCCTCTTACGGAAGCAATTTTGCTTATGTCTGTAATTTAGGTGATTAGGCTACACATCGTTCCTGCAGATTTGTTGGTTCTAAAACCAATTTTTGGTCAACAGTGATGTGCATAACCAGGGTTCGTGCGGTCATGAAAATCATGGAAAAGTCGTGACATTTTAAAATTTTGTTTTCCAGGCCTGGAAAAGTTTAGGAAAATTATACAATCCTAAAAGTTTTTAAAAGTCATGGAAATAAATTCCATAATTTCTGTTAATGTAATTTATTCATGCACAGTTGAAAGATTTTATCAATCAAATGAAAATCAACATATCAGCCAGGATCGGAATGACACTTCAGCGCGTTTGTTTGCATCACCTGCATCTGTGCAAGACGAGTGGGCCGTTGCTTAAGGAGAGAGAGACAGCCAGACATTGCAGCAGCAGGTAGGACTATACAATATGATAGAGAATAGACTAATAACTAGGTAACCAATTAAAAACATATCTTGTACCATCTAGGTAACTGTTCAGCTATTATTAGCATGTATTAATGTTTTCGTCATGTCCCCAAAAACTTTCCACCGACACTTGCGAACAAGGCTATACAAAGTTGATTAATTTTTTTTTACGATTAATTTGATTAATTTAAACAAGTACTGTTTACAAAACAAACCATGCACTTCACCATTATATTAGTTGAGATTCGGTTCAATCATGCTGAATCAAATCAAAATAATTTGTGAATCGCGAAGAGTAATTTTAGGAAAAAATATTTGACGTAGCCTTTCTTTTCGATTATGTAGCTTCAAAACTTGTTTTGTTGATACTTCCAGTTTATTTGGTAATCCAATGTATGGGACATTGCAACTCAATAGATGCTAGTCAGCCTGCAAGGTAAACACTTCTAAGGTAGCTAAAATTGACTAATCTCAAAAAGGTACATTTCCTGAAGAAAATGTGTGGACTTGCTTCAGCTGAATAGAAATATTTGTATCCTAGCATAGCCATTTTGATCTTTGATATATTGAATGAGCTAATTATTTCAAAAGGAATAACATTTATTTGGTTGTAATGTTGCAATGTTATACATCAAGGGTGGTCAACCATCCTCCATGAGAGCTAATGGGTGTGCAGGCTTTTATTCCAGTCCCCCTCTAACAAACACATTTTAAAAAATTAGCTGCTCAACTGGACCTTGATAAAGTGGCTCTGATGTGTTTGAGCAGGGCTTGATCAAAAGCCTTCACAACCAGTTGCTCTCCAGACTGATGGTTGACCACATGTGTTTTATACAGTTGCCTAACAGGTATTATACTTTGGGGGGGGGGTAACGACAGGAGATGATACATGGGATCAAAGAGCAGCCTCCCAGTGTCGTGTATGAACCCAGATTAACCTGCTTCCTGCAATGAAAGTCACTGCCCTATCCCTGTTTCGCTGCCTCTCCCTCCCCCCTTTGCACATGGAGTGAAGGGAGAGATGCTTTCTGATAATGTGCTGACAGTTGAGCAACATTTTAAAAATGTAATTGTGGGAAAGACTGTTTTTAAAACTACTGTTAAGAGGAAAGTCTCAGCCTTATGTTAGTATAACAATAAGGGTTGTCGCGATACTCAGAGGTATCGTGGCAAGGAAACAAAACATGAAGTGAACTGAATTTCCTGAGGAAAACAGTCTTAATGTTGTGGAGTAACTACAATGTTGTTGATACATCCTAAATTTTCTCCTATCACAGCCATTAAACTCTAACTATTTTAAAGCTACCATTGGCCTAATGGTGAAATTCCTGAGCGGTTTCCTTCCTCTCCGGCAACTGAGTTAGGAAGGACGCCTGTATCTTTGTAGTGACTGGGTGTATTGATACACCATCCAAAGTGTAATTAATAACTTCACCATGCTCAAAGGGATATTCAATGTCTGCTTTTTTTATTTGTACCCATCTACCAATAGGTGCCCTTCTTTGGAAAACCTCCCTGGTCTTTGTGGTTGAATCTGTGTTTGAAATGTGTGGGGTACAGAGATGAGGTAGTCATAAAAAAAATCATGTTAAACTATTATTGGACATAGTGAGTCCATGTAACTTAAGCAATTTTTCCTCCTGAACTTATTTAGGCTTGCCATAACAAAGACATTTCAGCTTTTCATTTTTTATTAAACATTTTCCACTTTGACATTATGGGGTATTGTGTGTAGGCCAGTGACAAAATTGGTCAATTTTAATTTCAGGCTGTAACGCATCAAAATGTGAAAAAATTCAAGGGGTGTGAACACCTTCTGTATTTCTCAACTGTCAATATAGAGGAAATAACACCACTTTACAAACGGAGTATGTATACTGAACAAAAATATCAACGCAACATGTAAAGAGTTAATCCCATGTTTCATGAGCTGAAATAAGAGGCCAGAAATATTCCGTAGGCATAAAAAGCTTATTTCTCTGAAATTGTGTGCACAACTTTGTTTACATCCCTGTTAGTGAGCGTTTCTCCTTTGCTAAGTTAATCCATCCACCTGACAGATGTGGCATATCAAGAATCTGATTAAATAGCATGATCATTACACAGGTGTACCTTGTGCTGGGGACAATAAAAGGCCACTCTGAAATGTGCAGTTTTGTCACACAACACAATGCCACAGATGTCTCAAGTTTTGAAGGAGCGTGCAATTGGCATGTTGACTGCAGGAATGTCCACCAGAGCAGTTGCCAGAGAGTTGAATGTTCATTTCTCTACCGTAAGCTGCCTCCAACGTCGTTTTAGAGAATTTGGCAGTATGTCCAACCGGCCTCACAACCACAGACCACGTGTAACCACGCCAGCCCAGGACGTCCACATCCGGCTTCATCACCTGCGGGATCGTCTGAGACCAGCCACCCGGACAGCTGATGAAACTGAGGAGTATTTCTGTCTGTAATAAAGCCCTTTTGTGGGCAATAACTTGTTCTGATTTGCATGGCTGCGCCCCTGCCCAGTCATGTGACATCCATATATTATGGCCTAATGAATTTATTTCAATTGGATGATTTCCTTATATGAAGTGTAACTCAGGAAAATCGTTGCATTTATATTTTTGTTCAGTGTAATTGAGGCTATGCACCAACGGAACAGAGCGCGTTATTTGCAGTGAATACATCGAGTAGCCTATTTTTTTATTTTACCATTATTTAACTAGGCAAGTCAGTTAAGAACAAATTCTTATTTACAATGACGGCCTACACCGGCCAAACCCGGACGACGCTGGGCCAATTGTGCACCGCCCTATGGGACTCCCAATCACGGCCGGTTGTGATACAGCCTGGAATCAAACCAGGTGGTCTGTAGTGACGCCTCAAGCACTGAGATGCAGTGCCTTAGACCGCTGCGCCACTCGGGAGCCCCGAATATAGGCCTACCAATGGAATGTTTTTGTAGGACATTAAATGTACTGTTAGATCAATTGCATGGCTATCCAGCAACAATATCATAATAAGAGTTAGCAATGTGTTGTGAGTTTCCACTTCCTGAGGTGGGAAATTATGTAGCATATATCCTAGGCCAATATGCAGAAAAAACATGCAGGCAAATTCATCTAAAAAAAGATATGATTATTCTGGATCCTATTTTGACATGTTGCACATCCAAAATATCCATCATGCATTCCCTGAACATGTTAGATGAAATGACTTCTTTAATGTCTTACCTTGGCACTGGAAAAGGTCGGGCTAGAGCCCTCCCGCTTAGCTACCTTGCTTCTAAGTATAGCCATTTTAACCTGATTCACTGAATGGGATAATTATTTTATTAGACTTTTTGGTTGTAGGCTAATGTTATAGCGTAATACCTCCA